TAGGTATTTTATTCTTTTTGATGTGATGGTGAATGGGATTGTTTCCTTAATTTCTCTTTCTGTTAGTTCATTGTTAGTGTATAGAAAGACAACAGATTTTTGTGTATTAATTTTGTATTCTGCAACTTTACTGAATTCATTGATGAGCTGTAGTCGTTTTCCAGGGGCTTTTTTTTTTTTTTTTTTTTTGGTACATGGGCCTCTCACTGTTGTGGCCTCTCCCGTTGTGGAGCACAGGCTCCGGACACGCAGGCTCAGTGGCCATGGCTCACGGGCCCAGCCGCTCTGCGGCATGCGGGATCTTCCTGGACCGGGGCACAAACCCATGTCTCCTGCATTGGCAGGCGGACTCTCAACCACTGCGCCACCAGGGAAGCCCTCCAGGGGCTTTTTTTTTTTCTTTTTTTTGGCAGTACGCGGGACTCTCACTGCCGCGGCCTCTCTGCAGAGCACAGGCTCCGGACGCGCAGGCCCAGCGGCCACGGCCTACAGGCCCAGCCACTCCGCGGCACGTGGGACCCTCCCAGACTGGGGCACGGACCCGCGTCCCCCGCATCGGCAGGCGGACTCCCAACCACTGCGCCACCAGGGAAGCCCCCTCCAGGGGCTTTTTAAGGATTTTCTGTGCATAGTATCATATCAAGATGTACACTATTTCTGAGTATCTTCTAAGTGCTGGTGCTAAGAGTATAGTTTAGAGCAAGTTAGACACAGTCCCTGTCCTCATGGGGCGTATTCTCTAACACTGGAGATAAGCAGTAGCCAAGGCATTAATAAAATAGTCACAAGTGTGTAAAGGGCTTTTAATTTGAAATACAAGGCACCATGGGAGTGGACACTTGTGGGAAGCTTGGGTTCACTACTTTGTCTCCTTCCCCACTTACTACATGCCTGGAGAGTGGGGCCCACCCTCCATTTCCTTTTTATATGAGTCCTCTTTTCTTTCCTCTGCTTGTTGCCAGGGTCTTGTGTTAGCACTCACTGTAGCCCACATGCCCAGTTCTATACTTGCACATAATTTAAATGTTTGTTCAGTGGGATTGAAAAATGAGATGTCAAGCCCCTTCAGGGCAGGGACCAAGCCTCATTGGCCTGTGATTCCCCCACAGGGTCCATCAAATAACAGCACCCAGTGATCACTGTCCACTGAAGGAATGTCCAGGAGTCACCTCCTGCTTCCCTTTGGGGAAAGTCAGCTAGCATGTCGTAAGGCACCTGCCCTAGTGTCAGGCCTGCCCTAGCTGCTTTATTAGATGAGGAAACTGACACTTAGAGAAGTAACTTGCTCAAGATCATTTAACAAATAGGTGATGTTGAAGGGCTTGGACTCCAGCTCTGTCTGACAGTAAAGCCAATTCCCATGACTATAGCATCTCAGCAAGAGACATAAGAGGCCAGGGAAAATGTGGTGAGTCAGTGAATCAGGTTCCTTTTGAAAATTCCAAGGGGCCTTGCTTCTTGTCACCAAGCTTCACTTCCATTGCCCAGGGATTGTTTTCTGTCTCAATGCCTCCTCTTCACCCAAGCTAATCTTCCTGCTGCCCTGGAGACTCTTGATTAAATTTGCCTAGGAAACACCTTCTTGCGTTCTCTCTGCCAGTGCACATACCGGAATGTTCACACCCCAGAAATAGAGTCTGGAGTTTATTCCCCTTTGGCTGTGGGTAAATTGACTTGTGACCGAGAGAATAGTAGTGGGTAATCTTGAGCCAAAACTATTTGGTATGGTTCAAAGTTTTGGGATTTTCCAGGTTTAATCCAAAGATCCTCAGGTCTCACTGGCGTCTGGGTACAGAGGAGCTCACAGGAAAAACAAAGAGTATGTTTCACTGTTTCTCACCAGTGCTTACTTGTTCTCTCGGTCCCCTAGCCCTTTGCAGTCTCCCAAAGTATTTCAGGGTGTCCCCAAGGTGGGACTGGCCGGCTGCTGTTCTGCTAGCCTGGGGTCCCGTTTTTGCTTTGGGGGATTTTTTTTTTTACTTTCTGTTTTAGAAACTGCCCCCTCACTTGCTGTCCTCACTCCCCACACCCATATCCCGGGCACTGGCATATCTTCCAAGTACCTTTATTTTTGCAACTGGACATCACCGCCACTTCCAGTGGGCACTGAAGTCCCCTCTTAGTTATGGCCACAACCACTGAGACTCTAAAGAAGAGGTTCTCAACTAGGCAGTTTTGCCCCCTAGGGGACATTTGGCAAGGTCTGGAGACATTTTGGGTTGTCACAACTCACGGGTGGTGCTGTAGGCATCTAGTAGAGGCCAGGGTGCTGCCAAACCTCCTGCGATGCTCAAGACAGTCACCCCAGCAGAGAATTATCCATCCCCAAATGTCAATAGCGCTGAGGCTGAGAAACCCTGCTTTAGGCCCGGGATGTCCAGAATGAGCAGAGTTATATTATCAAGTAGGAAGGAAGACTTCTCTCCCGTTTCTGTGTTATGCTGTAATCTTAGCAGGGTCCCCCAGTGGTGTTGTTTGTACCCTATGACTTAGACAAATTTTTGACAAGCAGCTTTCTGAGTTTTTGCTTATGCTCCCTTGGGTGAGGTTGAGGACAGAAGACAGATCTCAGGGCTAAAGGCTGATTCTCTTTAAAACTCTGACCCTGAGGCTTGGCTCTTCTCCTTACTGGGTGAGGCCTGCTGGGCCTGGCTCATCTTCCCTTAGGGTGAGTTATTTTGGGGGAGGCTAATGCAAATATGCTGCTAGCTCCCACCAGTTGGTCCTGACATGTCTGACCTCCAGTGCCTGTCCCAGCTTAAGCTCGAACTTGAGAGCATCTTTTGTGAGTTGATGTCCAGTCAACTCAGAACAGAGCTTGGATGAGTGCTGTTGAAGATCTCCCCTGTGAGTCAGTTAGGATTCTTTTGGTGGCAAGTAATAAACAAACAGATCAATATCCACCAAGAGAAAACTCTAAGCAAAAAAGGGATGGGAATTGGCTCAGGTAACAGAAAGGCCAGGTGTAGGACTGCCTTGCGGTGAGACTGGGTTCAAGGCTTGCATGATGTCAGGGACCCTATGTCTCCCTCTCTGTCTCTCAAGCCCCTTATTCTGTGTGGGCTCCATTCTCAGAAAGGGTCTTCCCTCGCGCTGCCACAGCCCCACCCCAGAGCTCCCAGATTCAAGTCCAGTGGGAAAGAGAGCTTCTTCCATTAGCTCCTGCAGAGGTCCTGAGAGTTTCTGGCTTGGGTCATGTGATACCCCTGAGCCAATACCATGGTCCCTGAGAGTGCAGAGTGTTGATTGGCGTTGCCCTTGGTCACATGCTCCAACTCAGATGACCCAGTCAGAAGGTGGGAGGGTGAGGTTACTGGGAAAAAGATACTGTAGCCCTGGGGGACAAGCTGACTGCAGGGGTTTAGAATCTTAGGTTCTATCAAAGGGGCTGTGGGATTACTATGGAGATCAGGGGGAGAATCTCTAATGAAGAATATATCATTTTAAAATGAGAAAGGATTGATAATTTTATGCTTAAGCAAACTGGACTGCACGGTGTGGGGAGTATGAGTTCTGGGAAGGTGCAGGGAGTTTAAAGGAACCTCTGATGGGAAGGAAATATTGCGTGCATGTTCCTCCAGTTATATACTCTTTATAGAGTCCCCTCATTTGACACACCCTCCCCTGCCTCAACCTTTCAATACATGAAATGTATAAACTCTTTGTTTGATATTTGCTTGATAATATGCCACAATGTATTCAACTGTGATGAACACTTATATTTTTCTATATCTTAATTTATTCATGCTTAAAAATTTTTTTTCTTAAAATTTCTTGTGAAATCTCACATCTTTATTTTATTAGGCAACTTTCTAAAACAATGTTTCATTATTTTCTTTGAAAAGTCAAAATGTGGCAATTGGGGCTTCCCTGGTGGCGCAGTGGTTGGGAGTCTGCCTGCCAATGCAGGGGACACGGGTTCGAGCTCTGGTCTGGGAAGATCCCACATGCCACGGAGCAGCTAAGCCCGTGTGCCACAACTACTGAGCCTGCGTGCCACAACTACTGAGGCCTGTGCTCTGCAGCAGGAGAGGCCACTGCAGTGAGAGGCCTGTACACCACGAAGGGGAGTGGACCCTGCTCACCGCAACTGGAGGGAGCCTGCACGCAGCAACGAAGACCCAATGCAGCCAAAAAGAAATAAATTAATTTTTTAAAAATGTGGCAGTTGAAGTACTTTTAATTTCCATTAGACTTTAAACTGCATTTCTTCAACTTCATACCCAAGTGCTATTTTTAAGCATATCTTTTAAATAAAAGTCAATTTTAAAGAAAAAAATGCCTTTGTACCTGTCTCAGTATAGTAGGGGGGCTTAAAAGAAAGCAACTAGTCAGTACCTGACATGTAATAGGCTCTCTGTAAATAGAAACTCCCTTCTGATTCTTTTTGGGACCATTAAAAATTCTGATGAAGGAAAAAAAATGGACTATATCCACTATAGTTTGTAGAGATAGTGATATTCATGTTTTCTAAGAGGTTATAAGACTTAAACCTATGTTACAGTTTCATTTTAAATAAAATATGTAACTTAATAATTAAAAATGAATTAGAGAACAAATTGTGTGCAAATTTGTTCCAAAATTATTGTTATATTTCCCATGCTTTATATTTCCCAAAGCTCCCTTGAGATCTTTTTTCTTCCTAGGTTAGCAGACATAGCTGGGCAAAGTGACAGACTTTGTTCCCTAGGGAATGAACATCCTAGCTAGGGAGAGAATACCTTGGCACTTGGAATAAACAAGGAATCATTTAGTGCTGAACTGGGGGGTGTTGATGACAGGTGTGGATGTTGTTGAGTGAGCACTTGTCCGTGTCGTCCCTCACCAGGTTGGAAAGGTGAAGGAGGGAAGGAGAGCCCTGCAGGGAAGAGATCACCCTGAGCAGTGTTACCGAGGTGGGCGTGAGCCTGGCACTTCTGGGGAATATAAGGACGCCAGTCTGCCTGGAGGGTAAGGTATGTAGTTAGAACCAAGCTGTGTAATGACAGTGAGCCCACACAATGGAGCTCTTTAGAGCAGGGCAGAGGTGTTTGGATCTGACGCAGGGCGGCAATATGGTATGAGGAGGAAAACCAGGCTTTGGGAAGATTCGTCTTTCTGTCATGATATAGATGTTCTGGTCAGTGGAGAGAGACTGGAATCAAGGAGGCCAGCTGTCAGCTCTTGCAGTAATCTAGAGGAGAGGTGAGCTGGACCTCTCCAATGGGAGCAAAAGGAGAGTAAAGAGCTATTTGGGAAGATGCATGAAAGAAAGAAATGACAAAGCTTAGTTTCAGACTTGATTGTAGGGAAGAAGAAAAAGAGAAAGGAAATAACTCACAAGCTTTTAAGAGCAGAGGCTAGAATAGAAAATTCATGGCATAACTGACATACATGAGAGAGTCAGGAAGGGAACTGGATCGAAGGTAATATGGTGAGCTCCCTTTGCATACGCCAAGTCTAACGTGACCTGAGGGACTTCCATGTAGAAAAGTTGGACTGCAGCTGGTTCTTAGGACCGTGGGCATCTCCTCCTGAATCTCACCCTCTCGTTTCCCCTAGCTATCTTTTGAATCCATCCCGTTCAACCCACTCCCCACCCCACTGTTTGAGTTGAAGTCTTCATCCCCTCCTGGCTCCAGAGAGTGTAATAGGCCTAACCAAGTTTCCTTCCTCCAGTCTCATCCTCTTTAATCCATCATCTTCCATGTCGTTGAACTTTTCCTCATATTTCCACTATGCCTATAATTTGGTTTTCCAGGTTACTAATTCCGTATTGATCTAGGGATATTATAAAGTATTGCAGTGGATTATGACTGGAACTCCTTTTGTTTATCTCTAAGAAAAGCAAGTAAAGGATTTAGATTATTTTCTAATCACTTAGGAGTGTTGAACGTGGTTTCCTTCAGTCTGATGTCATTCTGAGACTGGAGCACGAGGATGACTTGATATATAAGGACTGTAGTGATTTCTATATCTGACTTTCTCACTCAGTGTGAGTACCTGTTGGGTGAAGACTGTAACTATGTCTCTGTGAGGCACCAGAGTCTGGTGAAGTGTCTGGCATGTATTGGGGTCAGCAGGG